CAGTTGGTCTAAGCCACGTAGGAAGGTGTAGACTTCCAGGCTGAGGTCCTCGGGACGGTAGAACTCTATGGTTGGAAACAATTGGTGACATGGCTCAAAGTTGTTCTCAATGGCTAACGCAGATGCATCCACTCCTTGTGACTTATGATCTCCAATGAAACTATATTTTTCTTCGTTATTACTCTTCCTTTGTCTCACACTTCTGTTTACTGTCTCTATTATGCTTTTCTTGTACTTTCTTCTCTTGCTTCGCGTGCTACACGGAATGTGGCGACTTGAACTTCCGCACATTTGTGCAAAGTTCTATGTCGAAAACAGACAGACAGACATTAATCCTGATATGGGCGATCCCATTGGTGTTCCTTTTGTCTGTTCTTATATTTGAGTATTGAATTGGAAGTATGTTGTAAGACATAATTCTATGAGTTATATGCAAGCTGAACATTGCGCTTTCATGTTTTCATTACTATAGAGTAATTGTTGCATAGTTTCTGTTGCTAGTTTTGGACTAATTGAAGGATATAATGCTGTGACATTATCAAACGACGCCATTATTTCATTGTCATCTACTTGAATGCTTTTGATTTTCTCTAAAAATTGGGTTGGCAAATTGGTAGAATAGTTGCATGGTTCTCTTAGGTATTTTAATTTTCTGCAGACTTTTTTCGATATTATTATTATTATTGTATCTTTTAGTTCCTAGAGGAACATAGGGTTTCATCTGCGCATCTCCATTGCCTTCGGTTTTCTGACAACTTTTTCACCCCGCTTCAAGTCTGCCCATATGCTTTCATCTCCTCCTCACATGACCTCCTCCAAGTCACCTTCACAATGACGACCAACCTGCCGCTTCCCTTTCGGCCGGGTTCCACTTGAGCGACGGCCTGTCTAGTGATGTCACTTGATGGTTTCCTCAGAGTATGGCCAGCCAGTCCATCTCCATTTCTTCCTGCCTATTTGTTTCACAATCGGTTCTTGGTTGGTTGGTTGGTTCGCTCATTGCCAGAGATCTTTGTTGCTGACCTTTTCTGTCTGGCCATCTGATCTTGTGTGAAGTAATGAGCGAAGACAACTGTTAGTGAAGGTTTGTAGTTTGTTTGAGATGCTCTTTATGACGCGCTAGCCAAGTCTCTGATCCGTATAGTAGGCGACACTGACTGACTTTACATTGGAGTTGAAAATCCGGATCTAATTTTTGATGGTGAGTGCTGTTGACCTCCACACAGACTTGTTGAGAGTAATGAAAGCTTGTCTTGCTTTTCCGATTCTGGCTTTGATATCCTCGTCAGTTCCGTCCGCCTGTAGTTGAGACGATGCTTTCCAGGTAGGTCAGTGAAGGAGGTTGTTTCTTTCAGGTTCCTCTCATTTATGCAGGCTGATTGTTGTCTGTTGTTGTTGTTGCTGTTGGTGTTGGCTAGGAATCTTCATCATTTCTGTTTTATCTATGTTCACTTGAAGTTCTATCTTTGATGCTTCTTCTGCCAACTTGTTACTTTTCACTTGCATATCTTCCAGCAGTTTGTGGGAAATCAGGCATATATCATCGTTGGCGAAATCCAGATCCTCCAAGTCTTTTGTGTCAGTCCATTTTATGCCTGTTCCCTCGTTGGTTGCCGTTCCTGGCAGCAAAACAACCAAAAGTAAGGTATGTTTGGTTTGTCTGGTTTTGGTATATCCTAAAATCAAGGTAAAACAGTTCCGTTAGATTTCATTCACCAGTGATATTGTTTGTTGTAATCTCTCCTGATGTCTTTGGGTTGACCATGTTTACCTCTTTATCAATCTTATCCTATATTACACTAATATTGCATAATGTTGATGAGGAAGGATGTGGTTTGATATGCGAAGCACCTACCAATAGCCATCTCAATCGAGATGCAACTTCAACAATTCATCGACTGTCTTTTTCTGCCTATCTAACACACTCTACGGTTAATCTCAATATTGCTCACTCTATTGTGTAGCACATAACAACTAACATGGGAGATAGGAGGTAAATACCTATAGTCAAAGGTGACTGGCCTCCTCAAAGTCTACATCTTGTTGTCGTGAAGGAGGACGGAATGAACTGCTGCTGCGAAATTACTTTTATTCTTATATCGAAAAGTATGGATAAAAATAAGTTGGAAGGGAATTCTTCAAGGCAGGGAAAGGTTACGGTTGAAAATCTACGAAATTTAAAAGTGGTTAGAAGAATTATTATTCATTGTAATTATTCCATTGGGTTAGGAGTGGCACACCATAGGGCTTCACAAGCACATCTCTATTTTCTCCTAATCTCCATAGTTCTTTTCATCTGACTTCATGACTGCCCATAGTGCGGCGTGTGTTACTATTATTATAAATAGTCGACAGACACATAAACTCATGCGGGAAATGGTTCAAATCTGAACTATCTCACTCTCAATGTAACAACAGAAGACAAGGGGCAAGGCAGCAGATCATCATCTATATGTTAACTGTATCCGCCTACGCAAAGCTTTTGTTCTCAGTTTTCTCATGACCAATATTGGGGGCATAAACATTGACGTGAATTACTGTCCATCAATTTCGGCTAACAGCCAGCTCTCACCACATCAACACCATCTTTATTCAAAACTCTCCCCGCCTTGGATTACATCAGATAGAAAGACTAGAAGTCATCATAAAAGACTATATGCTCGCTAGCACAACTAATGGCAAAAACTCAGCAACACTCTATTTGACCCGCCCAACCGCGTTCTATACACTATCGACAGTGTAGAGCATGAAATTTACAATTAGTAATAAGTAAAATATGTGACTCTTCGATCGTTTCCTATTTGTCATTTATGGTGACGCTATTTCAAATGTCGTATCATTTTAGTTATTAGCATTGTTGCTATTATCAATTTATACTTTATGTTGTCGTTGTTGAGTAAATTAGATACAACAATTTATAAAAAAGTATATTTGTAAAATCTCAGCGATATTGAAATGAGTAATTCCAACGTTTCCAGTGTTCGGAAATCTGGTCCGAACTTCTTCAGGGAAGTTAATCGAAATTAACTAACATAACACAGGTTTATATATAAAAGGAACATCTCTTGTTTTTAAAACTTTGTCCAGTCATGATTCATAAAACAAATATTAACAAGTATAATAAACAAAATTGTACGAGTTGTGATCAAAATTTGACCTCAGACTTACAAATATTGATCTACCTTTGTTAAACACTTTAAAGACAGTGAGTATGTGTGTGTGTGTGTGCGGATAAACAGTTGTAAAACAATGTCTTAACGTTTCCATAAGTAGATATAAATAGTCGGAAGCTTTGACCAAGTATTATTAGTTAGTGATACATATCCATTCTTATTTATTAGTCAGGATTTCCTATGCGTCATCTAACATCACACCTTCATGTCTGTTCAAACTGTTAGTATCTAGAATTTTATGATTAGACATATTTTCAAAATTATGGTGTTTAGGATTAGAGTTTAGCTGAAACACCCTGTCAAACTTATCACTTTGTCTTCTTTCTGAAAATTGAGCTGCTTTATTCGACCTACTGAAGTTGTCAGGTGACTGAACAGCTACGGATTTAGAATACGCATTCTCTTGCAGACAACGCAGAGTAGAAACACGATGACTCATGATTGAACAAAGTTTTTAAAAACAAGAGATATTCCTTTTATATATAAACCTGTGTTATGTTAATTTCGATTAATTTCCCTGAAGAAGTTCGGACCAGATTGCCGAACGTAGGAAACGTTGGAATTACTCATTTCACTATCTCTGAGGATTTACCAATATGATAATTTTTTTTACAAATGTATACTTTCACTCGGCGCCCAAATATTTTAGAACTATTCTGTCAAATCTTAACTACAGTTCATTTGATAGATACAACAATATTGTACAAAATACTCAGAATTCCATGCTTTATCTTCCCTTCCATAAACCCAAACCATATGAAAGAAACAATAAGGACACTAGGAATAAATGCGTAAGATAGATTTGTATATATATTTATATGTATATATCTTGTAATATAGAAACAACTGACTAATACCTTGATAAATATGCATTATAAGTTATAAACATTAAAAATTAAAAGGTCAAATGCAGGCGAAAGTAGGAGAGTGGTGGGCAGGGGTGGTGGAACCACGAGTGTCAACTGGTCGAAGGCAAAATCAGCATTTATAAGCAAAAGATAGAAGGGAAGGTTGAATAAAGAACAGAAGAAGTCCTCAGGTTCTCCGGATATCTTCACAATGCATATCATCAATCAATATTCCCTAGATGAAAATGCAACTCCACTTTTTTGAGTGTTAGTTCATTATGTTACTTAATAACAGTAATAAGTAGTAACGTGAAATATACACAAATTATTCTCCTATATATATGTGATCAATTAATGAATGTTTTGATTGAGTATAGATGAAATCTAAAACTGTACACAATATCTATATAGGTATATATATATATATATGCTTATATATGTATATACATGGAAGGAGAGTCATCCGAAAGCATAAGAATACATTATTTTTGTTTAAAAAAGTATTTTTACAGGGGTTTTCTTTCTATTAAATCTTCGAAAAGAAAAATGAAAAATGTGTTTCTACTCAATACGCAGGTGTATAATGGAAGAATCGATATAGAGGGTATACAGTGCCGTTATTTGAAAAGCAAAGATGGGTGGGGGTGGCCAATAGAAAGAAAGAAGCTAGAGAACGATTCATTCTAGTTATTGAAATTATTGCACCATTGTTTTTATTCATAAAAATAATAATAGTAATGCTATTTGGTTATACTACCAGGATAAGACCCCAAATTTGATGGGATAAATGCAAGAGAGCTTATCGATTCAAAATACTGATTTTTTGTATGTGTAAGTGAGTGTTATTCAGGGAGAAAAGGCGATCAAAGGATTTTATTGCATTATTTGTATACGATATTTTGTTATCACACATTTTGGATCTTGAAACATCCCTCTTTTTGTGTGTTTGTGAGCGTGTGTGTGTGTACTGAATGGTTGACTATATTTCAAGGCACAAATGTTTGTCCTGATTGGATTCCTCTTTCGATGACATTACATCTTCCTCTTTCTCCCTCGTCTCGCCTTCATCTTCTGGTTGTAGATGTGTTTCATCTGAAGTTGTTGGAAACTTACTGATATCTGATTTCTCAATGTTTTGAGTAATTTTTACAGCTAGACTTTCATCTGTGTCGACTTCCTCCATCTCTTCGTCTGGTTGATGCTCGTCGTGATTATCATCACGCAATATTTTATTATCTAAAGTTTTTTCTGCATAAATGTTTGACGTATTATCATTATTATTATTATTATTATTGATGTTATAAGTTGTATTTTCATCTTTGTTCGAAGATACTGAGTCCCCATCATATCCAGTTAATGGGCTTAATGATGGACTCAAATGTGGTATGGATGAATATGTGTTATCTGAAATTTCAAAAGCAAAAAAAAAAAATTAAATCAAAACAATTAGTCCCTTTGATAAATTTGAATAAGGCATTAAGAAGACAAATTTCGCGAGATGATATCATTTCGTAGTTTCTTTACAACCGCTTTACAACTAACATGGTTTGTTCCTATCCAGTATAAACGTTCCCTGGTGAAATGTTTGTTCTCAAGGGCTCGAAAAATATGTACGAGTGACACATTGATGGATGAGCTTCGACATATACATTCAGTTTTACTAGCCAATGGTTATCCAGAAAACTTCATCAATTGTCACGGTAAGGATAGACCACATCTTGAAAAGACAGCTTCTGTACCAAAGAAAGCCATCTTTATTAATCTACCATTCAAGGGCGACCAGATTATGCAGTTGACAGCTCAAAGACTTCGGTCAGCCATCAAACGCACATTCTACGCCGCCTCATCTCTTTTTCTCACTTGCCGAACATTTTCCATCCCTGTACCCACCCACGATTAAAGGACGGAATTCTGTCGACTCTACTTCAAACTGTATCTACAAGTTCACCTGCAGCTGCGGTGACACCTACATAGGTAGAACTAACAGAATGTTCCAATGTCGTCGAAAAGAACATATTCCATGTTCGTAGAACCAATAGAATTTTCCAATGTTGTGATGGAAAAGAACATGTTTCAAAATGGCTATTAAATCATATCGAAAATCCCAACGCGATTAATCTGAATAGAAATCCAGAATCATCATCCATTGCAAAACACTTATTAATGTCTGGTCACAAAATCAATATTAATGACTGTTTCACAATTATTTCACATAACTCTAATTCAAGGTTATTGAAGGTGATGGAAGCACTTTGGGGGATTAATCACATACAGCCTAAACTGTGTGTACAAAAATCAATAGACTTCAATCTTCGCCTACCCTGGACTACATGACCTATCTAATTATGATTGGTCATTAGTATGTACTTTTGTTTTTTATTTAACTGAGTAATTGTCATGAACTTTATTTTATTATTGCTAACCATGTTATAAGTTGTAAAGCGGTTGTAAAGAAACTACGAAATGACGATATCATCTCGAGGCGAAATTTGTCTTCCTAATGCCTTATTCAAAAATAAAATTAGACATTTAATTACTTATTTATGTATATTTATCATTCGGGGAATGCAGAATGTGTATTTCGTCCTACTTGGACCTCATCATCTGGGTATGCCTGCGCTCTTTATTAAATGATGTTTTAACTTATACTCTATCTAACATAACATTTGCTCTCTCAAATGTCAAAACTCTCTTCACTAGAATACGAGAACCGCTACTTGTACAGTGCTTACTATTTGTTATCTCTATATCTGGTTGGCTGATTATGCTGGGCCTAACTCTTCAGTCCCAGTCAATATGCCGTCTTCTAGTGCGAACGCTCCGTTATTGACTAAATACTAACGTGACGTTGTTTTGAAGGATTATAATGAACAGTGGAAACCAGGGTATGTGCATTTCGTTGGAGTTTGAAACCGTCACTTGGATTTAGCTGCATTCCCCGTGTGAGTAAGTCACGATGTCCCTTCACTGCAACTCGAATCCACCACCTACCTTTACATATAACAAAAGGCTATCCGTTAGACCAGATAATATCATCACTGTTAATCTTCAGATGTATTCTTCAAGCATTCATCCTAGAAGCCAACATGTCATCCCAAACAGTTTAGTCTAGTGAATAGTCCTTTTATGCTTAAAAGCATAGGTTCAGGGTTCGAGTTTTAGTGAGGATTGTGAAGGTACATCTACCTGAAAAAACAGGATCGAATCCGAGTCCCCTAAATTCCAATGGTAATCACTGTCCACCACTAAATAATTTCTTCAGGTCAGTTTACAGACATCGTAGAAGTGAACATGTCAAAAGAGGGTAAATATTTGGGTTCAATGTGGTTAAAACAAAAATTGACTTCAAAATGAATACAATTGTATGCCGTGTAGCAATTAAAATATGCTGTGAAAACGAAGTATACTACTAGCTAATTTATGAGTAGATCAAATTTCTTCGCTTTAAAATGAATGCAGTGTTAAGCTGTTTTCAATTTTCGGTAGAATCATACGAAGGTAAATTATTCATCGTTTTTCTACTCAGGTTCAACTTTAAACATAGTCTGGTGCGAGATACCACCCAGATGTTTCCTCAGAATGCGTCTGATCCATCACTACTCTCATCTTCGTAATATTCGCTGACCAGCAGTTTGTTGATTGACTCGTTATTTAGATATTGATGGAGAGATAACTAGAAGAGATGACTAATAAACTCGTGGAGAAATCTAAAAGCTCATTTCAAATTAAAGTGTGAGCTGAAGATGTTGTCTAGTAGGGCAATGAAAGCTTCTCCAATAAACCATCCAGCTCAGAGAACACAACACTACATCAAAGTGATTGACTCGTCCCCAGAGTTTGTTTTTTTTTTCTAATTCTGCCATCTGATCTTCAGTATGGAGAGAGCAGAGGTGTCAGCTGTTTGACAAAAGTCTTCATTGGCCTGTTCAAGGTGCTTTTTATGAGGCTCGTATCATCAAAGTTCTGACCCATATAAAGGAAGTGACTAACCAACTGACTTAAAATTGGTGTTGAAAATCCGAATTTCGTTGTTTATGGTGACTGTGTGCAGGGAATTTTCAAACTGAATTCAGATTGTCAACTAACTGTCATAATTTTCTGTTTAGTTAATGAGGTCTCCAGTAGAGCAACGTACCGGTTTATCCGGAGGATGGCTAGTTTAATCCTGCATCTTATTACTGATTCACATGATAGCTAGGCATAAAGTACGATGAGTTCCACAGTAGGCTGATAATTTCCTACCTTACACAACTTTTATCATCACATAATATGTGTGCTAAATAAGGTATTGTAGAGTTTTTGTACTTTGTCGTCCGAGTATAAAGGAGAGAGTTGTGCATGGAGAGAGAGGATTTTCAGTGTCTGACAAGATAATATTTGTTAATTTCTTGCAGGAATCCAGGTGTCTATCTACAACAGTATTAACGAGTTTGTTTGGCGATATCCCACTCGTCCGACTGATGGCTTTTAGTACCTTTCTCAGTGTAAACAAACAAAGACTTTCTTAAGTAATCCAGGAAAGATTGAGAGCAGGGGAACAGTAAAGAAAGATAGGCGGGATATAAGAATTCACAAACTGGAAAAGTAGACATTGACTGATTAACACCAGACTCTCTTAACTTCTTAATGTGGAACGTGGAACTGACGGGATGTTGAAAGACGAGGACAGAGTGTGGAAGTACACAATCAAAGGTATTTTTACACTCGACCTAGCTTCGAATTCGGTGTCATCTATCATAGTAGGATCATGTGAACGAACCGCTTCATGTAAGTCACGCTTGTGTGTCTGAAAGTTAAATTAACAATCTGGCTGCTATATGGACGGATTTAGCTTAAGACCATTTGAATTAGATCACTGATTAATTTTCTAATAAAAAATTATTGATTTAGCAACAGTCCAACTGGAAAGTAACCGCTGGCATAGAAACAGTCAGTTCATCGACAGAATCATGCAAGTCATGTAAGAAGAAAGAAAACAGACAAAGAAGAAAGAACATCACCTCAAGTGAGGAACACCAGTTAGACTAAGTGAAGCAGGCAGTGGAAGACTTCCCATTGTAAACAGTTTACTGCCTACTGTCGAGAAAATAGGAATGCAATCATCACTTGATAATCCAGCACTGTGATTATCTCTCAGCAAGCTTGTTTAACAAGAAAAGATTAGATTACACGGATAAAGGCAGATGGGTGATCTAGGAAGGCATACCGAACATATATGTCACCTCTATCTAAACTACGGATTATATTATGAGATATAAGACCACAGTGACATTCAAAGTACACCTACTTTTGTTTATAAACACATTGTTTACCTATATTTGAAAGCCTCCAATAAAATTTCAAGACTGGATAAAAGCAGTTTTTCCATTATTTTCAAAAAAAGAGGTGAAGTAATGTCAATGAATTTAAACTTAACACTTGGTCCACTTAATTATTCTAGGCACAGGATCAATTTGAAATCTTCCTTCCAAGAATAAGGTATAATTCCATTATAGATAAGATTTTATTTTGATAAACTGTCACACACACACTGTGTTTGTTATACAGTAATATTAACTGATGACTAAGTTTCAAGCACAAATTACCGCCACTCATTATCATATCAAGGGAATCGCTCACACAATTTTCTTCCTTCATTTATATACATGAGTGGAATTGATGATTAGACATTTGAATAAAAATCAATATAGGCTAATGTACATTCAGAAATAATAATAATATGAGTGTTAATGATCAATACTCAAGATCAGATGGCCAGAAAAGATCAGCAACACGGATCTCTGGCAGTGAGCGAACCAAACCACCAGGAACCGATTGTGAAACAAATAGGCAGGAAGAAATGGAGATGGATTGGCTGGCCATACTCTGAGGAAACAAACCATCAAGTGACATCACTAGACAAGCCATTGCTCGAGTGGAACCCGAAAGGGAGGCGGCGAGTTGGTCGTCAGTGCAAGGGTGACTTGGAGGAGGTCATGCGAGGAGGAGATGAAAGCATGTGGACAGACCTGGAGCAGGGTGAAAAAGTTGTCAGAAAACCGAAGGCAATGGAGATGCGCAGCTGAAGCCCTATGTACCTCTAGGAACTAAAGGATACAATAATAATAATATTGATCAATTACAATCAGATGGGAAATAAGACGAGTGTTTTTATAGTCAAACTTGTTAGAATGTCATGATGTACGTGAAGTGAAATAGGATTTTAAGGTAATTTATTATCCTCCTCTGATTTGACTGACTGGTGGTGATAATATCTTCCATGCATATCTCCAGTATTTGCATTCAGTCATAGGTCAAATGCAAAATAAAAATAATGGTGAAACTAGTGATGATAACATAAATAAGAGAGAATATAAGGCGTCTACAGTAGTTGTACCGTACAAAGAGGGGAAATCTGAGGATTC